CTACACTTTCTGTGTGATCACGATCGGATTCTTCATAATCTTCACTTAAACGAGACGGTTCTAATGACATTGACGGATGCAATACAGCTTCCAGAGTCGTGCTAGTTATACTAGGAGATTCCGTGGGTCCACTTAAGGACTGCGCAGTCTAAAGTAGCGGTTTGTATCATAAAGTAAGGTAAGATATAAAAATCTTCTTAGAAGAGAACTAATAAGTTGAAATATGCAAAATTGATTGGATGAATCTTATCAGTAGTTCATTATGTAAATAAACTAGCGATGATGACATCTAGTGCAAAAATAACCTCGCCAGACTCTCCAAGTCTTCTCTTCAACTCTCTCACTTGATGTTCAGCAGTTTGACGAGCCAGCTCAGACTGTAGCTTCTCTTCAGTTAGAGCGACTAGTCTAAGAAATAAAGATGAATTAATGAATAGAAAAAAAAGACAAAAAGCAGCCATCAACGACGTTGTTATTATCTCTGAGTTAGCAGAAATGATGACACTTTATTAATCAAAATTTTACCTATCTTCAGTCTCTATAAGCTGCTCCTTAAGTTCCCTATTTTGAGCTACAGCACGCGAAACAGTAGCCTTTTCGTTTTGAAGTTGTTCAGATAAGGATAGCAGATCCTACAACGATTAATTCATTCCTTGCGAACTTTGACAGAGAGAATTCGGAAGACTGACCGATCCATTTGCCCTCGTTTCAGCTGATCTTTCTTCCATCAACCTTAGTCGCATTTGCAACTCGCTGACCGTCTGCTCACGTTCAAAGATTATTTGATCCTAAGACGTGGCAAATGAAGTAAATAATATAAATTGATTTATCCTCTTTTAGACTTGCCTTCTCTCTCATCATAGAATCCACAATTTTGCCTTCTTCATCAAATTTCTTCTGCCACTCAGCATCCAAAATAAGCCGAGTTTCTTCAACTTTGCGGTTGATGTCATCTTCAGTATAGTTGACAGGAATATTTTGGGCTTCCTCAGCAACACTCACAACCATTCTTCGTTGCGTGAGTTCCTAATCAACAGAGATTGACAAATGGGTAAAGACGGAGCTTTTCTTCAATATGAGATCAGAGAAGACTATGTTGAAACCAGAAAGGGAACATTTTTATGAGAAATTAGATAAATAACTGATGAAATAAAACACACGTCGATGAAAAAAATACCAGAGAGACTGAGTGAAATTGAGTGTAGCAAGAGGAAGAAAAACAGGACAAAGGGTAGCCCGAATGGCATCGAGCCTAAGAAAAATACACACGTAGCCACCACAGGAGAAGTTTTTCCAGGAAATCATACAATCCATATGGTAGTCAAAATAAGAGGGGCATGATGAAGGAGATTGAGAAGGAGAAAAACTGGGAAAAAGGGTATTAAACGGGCATTTACATCAAAAGATGAGAGATAAAAAAGCAAAAGAAAGTGAGATATCAAATAAAAAGGCGTACCTTCTGCAGCACGCTGATATCATTTTCCAACTCCTTCACGCGTAATAGAGCAGCATCGCGAGCTGATGAGGCCTCGGACAACTGTAAACCAAAATAGGTATGCCCTTTTACGAAGAAAAAACTTTCAACAGTAAGGAACGTCGTTCACCTCGGTTTCAATTCTGCTTCGTGTGTTTACAAACTCCAGTCTACAGGTTTCATAATGTCTGCTTAATTCTGCCGTGTTCTGCTGCAGTTGGTCTCTTTCACTCGTGAGCAAACTTACTTGATTTTTCAATGTATCAACCCGATCTGGAAAGAGAGGATCCATCTATAGGTAATGCGTGAAGTGATCT